GAAGGACTTAAGTGTCACATCCCAATCACTGGGCTGCCCTTCGCACAAACTGAAACAGATGCATCAAGCCCACTCCGTTCATTTCATTCATTCCTTTCCACCTACATTAAATGGTTTTGACAAGCCAGGACAAACAGCAAGGCTTCCCAGCACGTGACTGCAGGCCTGCGGTGCCAGGGGCTGGAACAGAGACAGCAGCAAGTGAAACAATTGTTCAGCTCCGAGCAATTCAATAAGCTTTTCTTGGCCATTGCCATTTATCCATGTACTTCCCCTCCAATTTCTTTTGGTCAGGAAAGAGCTATCAAAGGTGTTTACATTATTCACGGGAAGACACAGATCTTGGTCATTCATGATAAACCAGATATAGGCTTTTTTTTAATGTACTTCATTTACAGGAGCATGATTTACACACAGAACTGTTACTACCCTCTTTCTATCCCTGTACAGAGGTGCCTTATATAAATAAAAATCTACAACCCCAACCTAAAACCAAAACAACCCTCCACACCCAAGATTAGCTGTTGTACCAAGCCACAAAAAGAAAGCTCATCAGCAAAAAATGCCTATATTCCTTTGGCAATTTCCAACAGCGAAGGCTTAATATCTATTCAACATCCTTAATGAGGAAACAAAATACATTTCTGGCACCTAAATTAATATGCATACCTGTTGAGTCTGAGTAATTTCTCATATACTTTCCTTTCTAACTTTCTAGTCACTCTTGAGTTCTGCCCTATTAACATCATGACTAGAAATCACACATCTGCAAAGCACATCACGATACCACAAGCAGCTGCAGAGCCCAGCTCAGACACCTGAAGCAGCAGGACAGCCACCTTAGCAAGGCTCAGGCCATTCAAGTCTGTTCTTCATTTGGATCAAGTTCAAGCACCAAGGGTCTCACCTCCACTATTCACTTTTACAAACTGATACCAAACAGCCTGAGCTGAACTCTAGGATAATTCAGCTAGCATTAAATGGACACACAGTTATGCAGAAGAGACACACTG